CCGCCTTCAAACTGAGACGCGATGCATTTTGCAGAGTCAAAAATGCAACAGCTCGGCGAGCTGAACGCATTACTCACGGGAATAAACACCCCCGGCGAGAAAGCAAATTCAGACAGGCAGCTTGCGATGTTTACAGCCCAGTTACATACAAATTAAGACGCTGCGGATTACTCGTTCTCTCATGCAAACTGCAGGGGGCCTTCCGGGGGAAAAAAAAAACCAAAAACCTCATTCATTATGCCTGGGCAAATGTGAATTTTAGCAGAGCTTAAAGCATCAGTCCCAAAGGTGGGGGCTGCGGAGTCGGCGGGAGCCGGTGCCGCTGCCCTGGGCATGGCTCCGGCGCTGCGTGGGCATCAGCCCTTGCCCGCAGCACGCAGGCAGCGGTGCCCTTCAGAGAGGAGTCTCTGTCTTCTCGAATGATCCCAAATCATTCGGTGATGGCTTTTTGCTAGGCTAAAAGAAGGGTGGGGGTACCAGAGACTGAAGAGGACGCATGGGACCGCCTCCCCCCGCCCCCGGGAGCCTTCCCCGAGCCAGATGGATGCAGACAAGGCGCTAAACTTCCAGCCGCCCCCAGATTTTGGCTGTCCGGGTTTATTTTTTTTTGTGCATAGCTGAGGGTTTAAAGACAGATTAGTAATATTTTTCAGATGCTTGGTCAAGCATTGGGGGGAAGTGGTTCCCCTCTGGCGTGGAAACCATGCCAAGTGCTTGATGATCCAAAAGGATCGAATGTGTTCGACCTGAAACCCTTTGCCCGGAGCCGGAAGGCGCGCGAGACGCCGGCGGACCTCAGCAGACGGCTATCACTTTAAGTCTCGCAGAGGCTGGGCATCGCGTGGCTCAACCTAGCCCGGATTAGCCAGGTCTGACGGCGCTCTATCCTTTCCGTGCCCTGGACTATTTATAGTCTGATGGGCTGTCAGGCTCTGTTTCATTGTAGAAATAAAATGCACGCTACGGGTAGACTCTGGCCCGGTTTCCGTACGTGCCAGCAAGGCAGACTGGGCGCCACGGTGCACAACCTGCTTGTCCAAAGCAGACATGAAACTGCAAACATGTCTGTACGGGAAGGATGATCCACCTGCGCTCCCGAGCGGCGCTCGGACAGCGGCCAGGTTCTCAGGGGCGTCTGAGTTGGGCGGCGTTTGGCTGGCCTTAGGCTCCCCAGTGCTCTCATGAATTTGTCCTGCGTGGTTACCTGCCATGCTATTTTTAATGTTTGCTAGATGCACTCTTCATTTCTCTTTCTTCTGTCTGGGGAAAAGGGTAAAAATTCAAACCAGCTATTTTTACTGGAGAAAAAAAGGATACAAAAGAGGCCCATTACACACTCTCCATATCCCTGGGCTTGCAGGCAGACAGACCCTGGGTTTTGCTCTATCCTGTGACTTCAATGAAGGCCGAAGTCTTTACCAACGGACCCAGGCTGGGTCTCACCGCAGGCAATTCCCAGGCTGGCTGCAGTCATTGCATTGAAAGGGGAGATTATTCTTGGCAAAGCACTAAAACACATGCAGGAGGAGCAGGGAGCTCAAAAACATGGAGCAGGCGGCGTCCCCTGCGTGGTACTGCACGGGCCGTTAACCCGGATCGAAGCAGCACGAAGGGGCTGCAGGAGCCGCAGCGGGAGTTTGGCCTCTTCAGCAGTGCCGAGATTTCACCAAAGGGGTTAAACTTGTGTCAGGCACCAACATCAGTAGGAAAGCCTGAAGCCTCTGGCAGCACTGGGGTACCCCAGACCTGCGGCAGCTCCACTGCTCCTAGCGGGACCAGCTCTGAATGAGTCCCTTTAAACATTGCCTTAAGCCTTCCTTTTGGAAGTTTCTTTTTACTTTTTCTGACAGTCAGTGCATTATATTTGGCACAAGGAATGCTGCATAAAAACATGATATCTTCCCTATCACGTTTTATTTCTAAGAAAATGCCACGTTCAGAAAAAAAACTGAGTGTCCCTTTATACGTTAGTGAGAGGTTAGTACACGATGTGAAGTTTTTAACCCTTAGACTAGGAAGGTGATGGTATCTGATTTAGCTGCTAAGTTCACTGAAACATAGTCTAGACCATAAAATTTTTCTGGACTATCACATAGCTTAATTCAAAATTATCTTTCTTTTGACCTATACTTGGTCTCAGGACACCAAAGATTTTGCTTTAGCCTTTTAATTGCACGGCTGACACAGGGTATGAATTTTTTGACCATCACATGCTACATTTTTATGCAAATAACGTATCATGACACTGTAGAAGAAAAGATTACTTCTGGTTTCCTTGTTTTCCTGGAACATGAATCCCATCTCATGTTAAATAAAATGATGTTAATAAGCCTCGGGTACTTGAGCAACCAATACACCTGCTGAGTGAACGCAGGTGCAGAAACATGTTTTGATTTATTTGTTCCTTGCTTCGCTGTTTTTTTGCCATTTTTTTAATGACAGATGTGGGATTTCATCATTCTTTCTGTCTAACCGACTTGGGGGGTTATGGCATTAGTTAAACCCAAGTCTACTTTGTCCTCTAGATAATTCTCATTTAAAGACTGGCAAACAAGCCTGAGGAGGAGAATGACCTGCCCAGGATTAGATGGCTAAGGAGAGGCAGGGAGCAAGAAGAAGCTGGGGCCCTGGGACTAAGCCCCACCGCTCTGATGTCCAAGGGGGTGACGCGAATGCCCACCTGTGTCAGCCAGTGCAGAGCTCCTCTCCTCCCGGCACAGCAGGCGAACCCAGCCCTCACACCCTGGCCTTGCTGGGGGACAGAGCGAGGGCCACCCCGGCCACCACTCCCACTCCAGCCCCTTCCCTCCACCCCCAGGCTGTCGTAGGGGGCCCAAGCCCCGCTTGGCCTCTATCTGCCCTGTTGCCCTGGGACCAGGACCTCCATCCTTTCCCCTCTCTCCCACACAGCGCTTCTCTCCATCTCCCTCCCATGCCTTTATTTTCCAGCCCTCCATCTCTGCCATCCCTTCATTTTCCTCCCATCCCTCCACTTTCTGTCCTTTCATCTTCCTCCCATCCCTGTCTTAAATCCCTCCATCTTCCATTCCTATACCTCTCTCCCATCCATCCATCTCTGCAATCCCTGCATCTCCCCATCCATCTCCCTCCCATCCCTTCATCTTCCATCCTTCCATCTCTGCTGTCACTCTGTCTCCCTCCCATCCCTCCATTTTTCATCCCTTTATCTTCCACCCCTCTATCTCCCTCCCATCCCTCCATCTTCCATCCCTATCTCTCTCCCCCATCCTTCCATTTTCCATCCTTCCATCTCCCCCATCCGTCTCCCTCCCATACCTCCATCTTCCATCCCTATATCTTCCTCCCATTCCTCCATCTCCCATTCCTCCACCTCCCCCCCATGCCTCCCTTTTCCATCCCGGTATCTCCCCCCATCCCTCCATCCATCCTCCCAGCCCCGCT